AGTTGGGGGACCCAAAAGGGGACCCTACTTTAGAGAACTACCCATATTCTAACCTGTGCGTAGCTTGATCGGAGCTACAAGTCCAGGTTACGCTGCCAGGGCATCTTTCGAACTCAACCTGGGGATGATCGGAAGAGAAACTTAGTAGCGGAGTAGGTAACCTTTAACCTTTTGGGGTTTACATAATCCTACCATAATTGAAGAGGTTGGTTAGCCTTTTTTGGGCTAGGATACTCAGCCCGTAAGGAGAGGGTCGCCCAGAAGCAGGGACAAGGCGAAGCCGAGGGATTCTGATCCTGATGCTGGCTGTGCTCGCTATTTGTATTCCTAGTACTGCGGCAAGCAAAGCAACTACTGCGATTATTACCACTATGTCTGCTACCATCACTCTTACCATTATCACTGCCCTTAAACCATGAACCCCTAAACTCTAAAACCTTAAGCCGCTAAGCCCAAAGCCCTCAACCCTGAATACCACTACTTGGAGGTTCATGGGTAGTTATAAGTGGGGTTATAAGTCCTCGAATATGGGTTATAACTATACTTACCGTACTTATAGCCTCACTTATAGGTACCCCTGAACCTCCAAACCCTAGACCCTAAACCCTAAACCCTAAATCCCATAAAACCTTTTTAAAGGAACCCTCAAAGGAACCCCTTATCATAACCCCCACTTTATAGGTACCCATGAACCTCCAAGTAACCCTAACACCCTAAATCCTAAAACCTTACAACCGTAAACCCTAAAACCCTAAAACCCTGAAACCCTAAACCCCAAACCCTAAACCCCAAGGTTTAGGATCCCACAAGGGCTTGGGGCTTACTTCGAGGTTCATAAGTAGGGTTATAAGTAGGGTAACAGTAGGTATGACCTTTTTGGTGGACTTATAACCCTAATTATAACTACCCATGAACCTCCAAGTAGGGCTTAGGATGTCGGGGTTCAGGGTTTTAACCCTACCGCAGCCGCAAATGTAACTACCTTTGAAGGGCTCTTCTTTAGAAAGCTAGGATTTGCAGACGTTTTGAGGCTAAAGGTAAACCCTAAAGTCCATAACATGACGGACCTTGAAACCGCTATCCCGAGATTCTTCAGTCCGTTCTTATATGAGGCTTTTGTCTTAGGCTATGTGACCCCATACCCTTCAGTTTCAAGGGTATCCCCCATGTTGTAACGCTGGGTCTGCTACTAAGGCTTCTATGGCACTAGTTCTACTCTCCAGGTTCAGCCCCTAAACCCCCTGACCCTCAAGCGCCCTACCCCCCAACCTCTTAAACCCTAAAATCCTAAATCCCCACACCCCCAAAACCTCTCAACCCTAAGCCCGCAAGAGCCCGTAAACCCTAAGCCAGCGCTCGACCCAGAGAGCCCAATACCCCTTAATTAAGGAACAGAGCCTTAATCATAATATGAAGCCCCTTATAATTTAAGCCATAATATGAAGCCCTTTATAACTTAAGCCATATTCCCTAATTAAGGAATATAACCTAAATCATAATATGAAGCCCCTTATCATTTAAGCCCTATTCCTTAAAAAAAACCAAAAAAAAAACAGGTGGTATTGGGCTCTCTGGCTAAGGCTCGAAAGCCTCATCGACCACCTGAACCCGCAGCTCGAGGTCGGTGGTTGGAATCATGCGCCTGGTCTAGGTACCCTTATCATTGAGGGCCTACTGGGGAACCTAGGCCTCCACAACAACTCTAGACATATGACAAATGCTGCAAACTTCCTGTTGGTGGCAACTTGTTCGCCCCTATGTACGTAACTTCCCAAAGAAGAGCTCTGATAGAATCCCTGGTT